TTCAACCAATTCAAATTATTTTATTAAATTAGAGGTATTTGTTGAATTTTAGTAAGAACAAATTACCTATAAAGTAATTTTTTCTAGTGATATCTAGTTTTGAAAAAATAATAAAATCGTTTACGTATTCTGCATTTCCATTTATATGGTAATATATTGGCGTATTGAGAGTAATGTATACAGGATGAACCTGTAATACTCGCAAGATTAATACTAGTACCTCAGTATTAAAGGTTAACGTTTGAATTAATTTGACTTTAAAATGGAATATATTTATTCTTTCAGTAATACATATTATATAAAATTACAAAAAATCATTTATTTATTTACAACTGCATTGATTATAACTATCTTAAAAAATAATTTGTTTTTATATCTGGTATTTAGAGATTTTTTTTTCGAGCATGGTTTTTCGTAGAATAAAAGTTCTATAATAAAGTGAGTATAATATTACCGTAGTGAAAAGCTAAAAATATTATTAAATTATTTTCTTTAACCCCAAAAAATTAAGTATAATCTGCACATTGACTAGATAAGTCCTGTCGTGAGATTTCTCCCAAGAACATTTCAAGTGGTCGGAGCGGAAAGATAAAACGAAAATGCGAATCCAGGGTGTAAGACGCGACCTGAAGAACCTAAAAAGAGATCATCAAAGCGGAAAAAATAATGTTTATTTTTGTTAAAAACATTTGTTTCCTTTATGTATTTATTTATGACAAAAGTATATACATAATATAATACACACCCAATTGCTCATGATTTTGTGTGATTTTAATTACAGTTTACATGTGTATATTGTTATGTATATATTCAATGATATTGTAGTATCTTATGGGTAGAATGTAATCTCAACCAAGACCTTACATAAAAAGAATAATTTATCATTTACTGTTAAGCTGAAACTCGTCTCACCTTCTGAATCAGAGTAGGTGTTTTGTTAATTAATTAAAACAGGTAAAATAACTCAATTGTGAAACAAAATTATTACTATTTTACTAAAAGTCGAGCATTTTGATCTTTAAAATAAATGTTGTCATAGAGCAAACATATATTGTATCAGATTATTTGCGAATGGAATTTCATAATTTGTCCGCGTTCGTGTGTCAATTAAGGCCCTCTGTAATTTTGTCGCCAACAACGCAATTAGCGTTAATTACGTTAGAGAAAACCGATCCCACGACATCAAAAGGTTAAGACTTTTTATTTTAGTTTATCTTCAGATGATTGTACGCTCTTGCAAAACTAGGTTTAAAGTGCACTTAGAACTGCAATTTACCGACGCATATTTATTTCCGTTGAACGGCGATTAGTGGTGTTTGGTTAAAGGTCTGTTGAGAGTCGTTCGTATTGATTGGAGCGCCACTTGTTGATAGGTCCGCTAACATTATCGCCTACATTGGGAGCTTTCGCTCATGTTACATTCATGACGTTCGTAAAGGTAAGATTTCCAGGTTCATGTTAAACATGCAAATGCCTTGAATTTACACCTCCATCTTTTCAAAAAGCACGTCGCTGCATTGAGCCATAATCGAAAAGTTTATTGCCTTTTCCGCTCTCTGTTGATTACAATCCGCGCTAATAACATTTTGAACAATTACTTTTTATTCTCGGATTTAATGCGTTTTTTCTTCATAAAATAACAGTCCAGCGTCCACAAGTATGCTTATAAAATACACTTTTTAGACGAAATTTTAATCTATAGAACAACCCATTTCAAGTAAAGCTTTGAAATACATGCCAGAGCTTATTCGACTTGTTAATTTTTAATATTTTTTTTCAGCCATGCTTAATGCCACATTATTTATTAAAGGCATGCTTGATAAAAAGCCTTAATAAACTTCTTTTGATGTATGTATGCCAATTACCTTAGAATTTTTTTGCATATTTTTTGTTTCGTTTTTACTTTCCTGGGTTGATTATATATTTAAAGGTGTTTTTTATAAACACTCTGCCAAGAATACACAGGTAACAGCTATTTTATCTTTCATTCTTTTAAGAAATTTTTCAGTTTGGCAATGTTTTTATCACCAATGATTATCTTTCAGGTAATACGGAGACAAAACTCAACTGCAATATTGAAAATCTTACAACCAGACAATTGAGAAAATAAATATATAAACTAACTGCTATAATCAATTTTTATAGAATGCATCAATCATTCAAAAAAATTGAATTAAAAGATTCTCAGAGTAAAGATTGGATTTTGTTCCAGAGACATATTTAATATGTCAAAATCAAAAAGTTCTCACAATGGGAAGAAATATAATCAAACATTATGAATAATGAATTGAAAGAAATCAAAGCATCTCATAAATCATTTCTTTCTGTCAAGAAACAATCATCAGATTACAAATAGATTATTTGAAGATCGTGAGATGCGGTCTGGTGTGACGTAGGTTTTAGAAAAACATTTTCTTTATCGTGCCAAAGTTTCGATCTTTATTGAGATCATCTTCAGGGCCTGGGATTAATAAACATTGTTTAAATTTCACAAAGACATGTAGGATGTGGTGTGTATGTATTAGTAATATTTAAATAATGTTTGTGAATCCCAGGCCCTGAAGATGATCTCAATAAAGATCGAAACGTTTGCACGATAAAGAAAATATTTTTCTAAAACCTACGTCACACCAGACCACATCTCACGATCTCTGAATAATCATTGACTAACGGTCACTAAACACCACACATTGCAAATAGAGTATAACAGACTGACTGTTATGAGAGTCCGGAGTAGGAGAGTCCAATGTGTGAAACTTGTGTCGTGTAATTAAAGCTCAATAGAAACTTAACCTGGGATACAATAAAAAGGAATGGAGAGAATGGAATTGTAGTAACGAGAGTCAATAACCCACCACTTCTTAGGACAAGCTTCGAGTCGATTGCACTGAACTAAGGAACCAGGAAAATACAGTAACCCAGACGGCTGTAGTTCTTGGTTAACAAAAAACCCGACTTCGTAGTTATTTTCGTTGACTTGTATCATAGTATCCATCACCATCAACCTTTTCAAAAATTAAAATCATTAAAGAAAAATTAAGTTTACGTTTGTTGTATTTTAAATTATCCAGTTTATTTGAAAATGAGTATATTTTTTCTGTCCGGTCGTCATCGAGGCATAGATTAAAACGTCTTTAATTTGCAATTCAAGAGAAAACTTTTTCTCTTCTCCTCGTTTACAGACAAGTTGTTCCCTATTAATAGTACAGGTTATATGCTAAAAATATACGATTATATAGATTATTTTTGGTATAAGATTTGATCTTCAAAGTTATTTTCTAGATAGCGTATAAAGTTTCACATAGTTTTTCGATTATATTACCAACATAATTGTTTGAGTGGCGTTTAGTGACCGTTATTTGGAGATCGTGAGATGCAGTCTGGTGTGACGTAGGTTTTATAAAAACATTTTCTTTGTCGTGCCAACCTTCGATCTTTTTTCAATTAATTAATCTTTTATGTAAGGTTTTGGTTGAAATGAAAAAGTTAGTGTCACGAGCTAGGTTCGAACCCACGAAATTCGGCTAAATACGCTGCTGCTCTAACACTTGAGCAATCGTGACTTCGATACGCTCGGACAAAAAAAAAAAAAAAAAAATTGAAAAATGGCAAAAAGGAGGGAAAATTCGAAAGGTAGGTTGAGATGGAGAGCTGGTGTGTGTTTAGGTTTGAATCTTGCTCGTGACACTAACTTTTCATTTCAACCAAAACCGTACATAAAAAGATTAATTAATTGAAAGAAGTAATTTGGTAAATAGACCACTAAATATAATGGTTTCGATCTTTATTTTGTGACCAGATGATTGGTCTAGTAATAGTGTGCTATAACTAATTAATTAATTATTATTATAATTCATTATAATTAATTATGGTTAAATAATTTGGAATTAACTTGGAACAGAAAATAAATCTCAAAACCCCCCTTAAAACACACCACGAAATAGACACTGCAATAGAAAAATTCACATTATCAATAACTCAATCCATCAGTGATTCAACAATTCACACATCTAGAAAACACTTACTCTCAGCACATTAACGTACCGCTTTATATTCGCTACCTTATACGATCAAAAAGACAAACTCGTAAAGAATCGCAAAGAACACGTTACCCTTAAGATAAATGAAAACTGAATAAACTAACGCATCAGCTGACTACGGAATTGCAAGCATATCGTTCCGACCGATTCAGACTATTTATTAAAGCACTAACAACAGAAAACAAATTGCTTTGGGCGGCAGCTAAAAATCTTCTATCTTACCTCAAAATATCTACCCCGCTTCGCCAAGTCGATGGCAGTTGGGCCAAGACAGACGAGGAAAAAGCGAATTGTTTTGCCCCTTACCTGAACACAGTGTTCACCCCACATGTCAACATTATAAACAATACTTATTCACAACTTATCAAGGAATATTTACACTCACCGATTCCATTATCCCTCCCTCCTAAAGCTTTTTCACCTACTGACGTTCATTCTACCATACAACAGCTAAAATCCAAGAAAACTCCAGGTTTTGATCTTATTACCTCAAAAATTCTCCAACACCTTCCCAAAAAGGCCATCATACTCATTGGTTGCTTCTCCACTTCTTCAGCTCGAATCCCCCTTTCTTTAATAGTTTAACTAGCTCGTTTTGGAGACTCAGGGCTTCGTCAAGAGAACACACGCTAGTTAATATGTCATCAACATAAATAACATTCATCAGCACGTGGGATGCTTGAGGATATCTCCAACCTTCATCTAATATGAGTTGATGCAGTGTGCGTATAGCGAGAAAGGGAGAGCAATTCAGTCCGAATGTAACTCGGTTAAGCCTGAATCGCATCGTTGATGTTAAAACGATACACGAAATGTTGGAAGGCGCGATTTTCCGGATGTAATATGATCTGTAGATACATCTGGCAGATGTCGGCTACCAGTGCAAATGGGTGCAGTCGAAATGCTAGCATGACATCCTTTATATCGTTTTGAAGTTTTGGACCAGGACACATATAATCATTAAAGAGATCCGGACGAGGTTGGAGCCGAAGCGTCGTAAACTATTCGCAAACGGGTTGAAGCGCTGTCCTTTATTACTCCATGGTGCGGAAGAAAATATCGTCNAAGAGAACGCACGCTAGTTAATATGTCATCAACATAAATATCATTCATCAGCACGTGGGATGCTTGAGGATATCTCCAACCTTCATCTAATATGAGCTGATGCAGTGTGCGTATAGCGAGAAAGGGAGAGCAATTCAGTCCGAATGTAACTCGGTTAAGCCTGAAGTCCTGAATCGCATCGTTGATGTTAAAACGATACACGAAATGTTGGAAGGCGCGATCTTCCGGATGTAATATGATCTGCAGATACATCTGGCAGATGTCGGCTACCAGTGCAAATGGGTGCAGACGAAATGCTAGCATGACATCCTTTATATCGTTTTGAAGTTTTGGACCAGGACACATATAATCATTAAGAGATCCGGACGAGGTTGGAGCCGAAGCGTCGTAAACTATTCGCAAACGGGTTGAAGCGCTGTCCTTTATTACTCCATGGTGCGGAAGAAAATATCGTCCCGGAGTATCAATAGAGTCGACGTAGCCAGGTGAGAGGTATTCCTTTATAACTTTGTCGTACGCGGATTTTAAATTCGGGTCCTTTTCTAATTTGCATTCCAGCCTATGGAGCCGATTCATGGCTGTAGTTCGCGAATTATAAAATTCTGGCGGAAGCGTATGGAAGGGAAGTCGCACCACGTATCTTCCGGACGGATCGCGTTGATGTGTGCTTACGAAATGTTCCTCACAATACGCGTCACGCGGATTTACCCGATTGGTCGCTGTAACTTCCTCAATCTGCCAAAACCGCTCCAGGACTTCTGTTAATGTTGGCGTAGTGACTACAGTTGCTATGAGCATTCGGTCAGGTGTATCATGATGGGTGCTTGGTAAACGACTCATGATGACACACCCAAACACCGTTGAAATCGCTGCCGGCCAATTAGTGGGTCTTTTGTTGAATCCACTATCAAGAATGTATGGAAATAGATCAGCCCCTAGTAGAAAATCAATGGGACCTGGCTGCCCGAAAGTAGAATCGGCTAAATGCAGATCTTTGAATCCTGAAATCACGTCTTCGGCCAGCTTGTATGAGGGCAGAGGAGAACTAATCCGTTGTACGACTACGGCATCGGTGAACAGGGTAGGGGAGGTTTGTTGGGCAGCCGAAATCGTGCAAGCCACCTGAGTCTCTCCTCCGCTTATTGGGTTATCCCCCAATCCACAGAAACCATGGGGATTGGACCGTCGTTTAAGGCCCAGCCTGTCTGCAAGATCGGTGGTAATGAACGATCGTTGTGCTCCGCTATCTATCACCATGCGGAAGGAATGCCATTTCCCGTTTTTGTCGCGAATAAGAGCTTTGGCAGTGCCTAAAAGCACATTTAATCGGCCTCGACCGGCTGTTGAAAGTACAATTTGACGTGCCACATGAGGGACGTCTTCGGTTCTGCTTATGGGAGCGAATTCATCTTTATCAGCCTGGCGAGTATCATTATGCTGCGGTCCAGTAGGTTGCGGTGGGAGTGAATCTATTTTGTCCGTATGTAAAAGCGTATGGTGTCGCCTTCCACAAACACGACATCCATAAGTAGAATTGCATTCTGACGTTAGATGTGTAGAGGATAAACAGTTGAAACACATTCCTCGCCGTGATTTTAAGAAAGATATGCGGTTGACTACGCTGCAGCTTTTAAACTGNTAAGAGCTTTGGCAGTGCCTAAAAGCACATTTAATCGGCCTCGACCGGCTGTTGAAAGTACAGTTTGACGTGCCACATGAGGGACGTCTTCGGTTCTGCTTGTGGGAGCGAATTCATCTTTATCAGCCTGGCGAGTATCATTATGTTGCGGTCCAGTGGGTTGCGGTGGGAGTGAATCTATTTTGTCCGTATGTAAAAGCGTGTGGTGTCGCCTTCCACAAACACGACATCCGTAAGTAGAATTGCATTCTGACGTTAGATGTGTAGAGGATAAACAGTTGAAACACATTCCTCGCCGTGATTTTAAGAAAGATATGCGGTTGACTACGCTGCAGCTTTTAAACTGAGGACATTTGAATAATAAATGGTTTTGAAGGCAGTATGGGCATTTCGCAGCTGGCGAGGATGAAGCTTCATGAGTGTAAAGAACTCGTTTTGGCTCCCGATGAGATTTCGGTGAGACAGTGCTCAAGGCTGATCCGGTAGCGAGGAGTTCCGCCTGACTACTTATATTCTGCCTATGCATAAAGTCAGTAAGTTCTTTTAATGTTGGTATAGCGTCCGGATCCAGTCTAGACGACTCAAATCGCTCGCGCAACTGCGGTGTAAGGAGGTGCAAAATAAATGTCATCAAGATGAAGCCGCCTTCATCCTCGAGACTCAAACGCCTGAATGATGTAACGCTCTCTAATGCAACCTCCGTTAAGTCTTGCAAGGATTCCAATGTTGTTCTAACCATGGGCTTGTAGGAAAAAATCTTAGTTAGATAATTAGCCGCCTGTAACCTCTTGTTATCGTACTTTTTGATAAGAGCCTCCCACGCTTGCGGGTACTCCGAGTTACTCAAAGGTATGGTAGCGATTGCTTGAATTGCAGGTCCTCGGAGTGACGACCTCAAGTAATGGTACTTTTGAATACCTGAAAGTCCTTTATTTGTGTGTATTAAAGCATGAAAGGTATCCTTAAAACTGTGCCATTGGTGCATATCGCCGTTAAATGTGGGAAGATTTATTTGGGGGAGGTGAATATATGGCTGCGTGGAATCTTGGCCGGTTGTAGCGGTGAGCGCGGAAGATGTATGCGTACCCATTGCAAGGGCCTCAAAATAAACTGCGGTTATCTTTACTTTGGCTGCCTTGTAATCGTCCATTGAAATATTAGCGGACCTACACAAGGACCGAATACTGCTGTAACGATCTAAGTATTTTTCATAGGCAGAATCCAGTCGTGACATACGGGCCTGGAACAGCGGGGCCTTCTTTTCATCCTTAATGGCTGCCAATCCAAGATCAAGAGTGTTCTGGATATCATCGGCTAGGTCTTCCAATTCATCGTGTAAATCTTCAAAGTCATCCTTGCTTTTAGACGTTTTAGGCATTCTAAATTCTAGCTATCCGGCCCGGAGGACCAAATGTTGGGGTTTGGGTGACCGGTTCCAACTTTTTTTTTTGTAAGAAATTTGGGCGGTAAACCTTTCCCCGGCGGTTGCCGGAACTGTAGATTCAGAATGTCCTTTGTTAATGAATTACAACAAAAAAATTGTTTGCGTTGGTTCACAAATAAAGTGTGTATTAAGAAAAAAATAGATTTTATACAAAATAATTAATAAACAATATTACTTCTCAGTTAAAATTAATAATAAAACAAAAAAAAACTCTTCAGTTACTTTCTGATTTAAAAAAATTAAAATAAAACAAGGCAAAATAAACTATAAAGTCTTTCCTGGTTAATCAAGAAGGATCGGCAGGCAATAACGCTGGATCACAACTAACTTCCTCCCGTTCCCAATCGCTTGCGCGTTCACAGTTCGGACCTGTGTTTACAGCCCGAGCATTAACAGTTCATAAACACAGAGTTCTTATCGCGTTCTGGCCGCTTTTCCATCTTTTTAACGTTTTTAAACTAAAACGAACTGCAATGATTTATTAAATAATTAAAAATGACTTCGATAAAAAAAAAGAATAATAATAAAAAAACGAATGAACTTATTCAAACCCGAACACTATGGTTTCAGATTATTTCCAAATTAACTTTAACAATTTACGCGATGATAATCTTTCTAAATATTGTTATTACTGCTGACATCTCTCTGTGGTCAACCTAATATTATTTACATTATAACAGTCATGAAATATGGCCATAGTGATCATTTATTGGCTTATATGTACAATCTCGCTAAATGTGCTTTTGAAGTAAAACTTTTGAATTCACTGGTTTGTAGATGTTGGATGAATGAGTCACACACTCAGTGGATCCTGACAGCGCCTGTGTGCTTCTCGATGCTCGCGAGCCTCGGCTTTCTCATAAACGTCGTTCGAGTCTTGCTGACAAAGCTGCATTGTAATTCAGCAAATCCGGCTCCGATTGGCTTGAGAAAAGCTGTCAGGGCGGCGCTAATATTGGTCCCACTCTTCGGAATCCACCACATTCTCATTCCCTTCAGGCCGGAGCCGAACGCACCTGGAGAAAGAGCTTATCAAATATTTTCTGCACTTCTCGTCTCCTTACAGGTAATTATTTCTTATAGGTACAAAAATACTGGCAAAGTTTTAATGTTTAAATGTTTGTCTATATCGGATAGAACTGCGACAATAAAACCTAATTTTAATTAATATAAAATATGTATACATATGTATTTTGTTGTCGACTACAAATTCTTCATCTATGCCTTCCTACACATTTCACAACGTTGAACATGTTATGTAAGTTTTTATAATGATATTGTGTCATTGATCTTTAGTAGTAGGAAATGGTCACTTCTGGGACCCCCTCGCTTCCCTTCCCTCCACACTCCCTCTCACGACCTCTTCTCATGTGGTCTGGCGGTGTGTAGACTCCCCCCTCCACTATCTTTGGAGATACTAGGACCCCCTCACTTCCCTGCCTTCCCAATTCCTCTCCCGCCCGGTCAACTGGAGATACTAGGACCCCCTCACTTCCCTGCCTTCCCGGTTCCACTCCCGCCCGGTCCACATGTTTTCTGAGGTGTGCCCCCCCCCCACCGACCCTCTTTGGAGATACTGGGACCGCCTCGGTCAAAGTCCAACTTTTCGGACCGCTTCACACCTCACTCATGGGATCTGACGGGGACCGCTAGTTCAAAGGGGCTTTGGTGAAAGATGTAGTCAATGCATTCGTGGGTGCAGATATGTCAAAATTGCCTGCTTTTGTGACGTCCCTATCGGCATGCAGTTACTTGTTTCTTTTTTTCTCTATCTAATTATAACTTTTTTTTATATATGTTTAGGATATGTTTTTTTCCATTTTTATATGAGAGGGATATTTTGTAATTTCCTTATCATAGGTACTTAGAAATAAATAAAACATATTTAAATTATCAAATAACAAATTTGTATTTAATCAATTACAACATAACAAAATGAACATTTATCTAACAAAATCTATATTATATCTTTTATTTTCAAACCCGTTGTATATTATATTAATCTTTCGGTGTGATTGTTCGTACTCTTCGATCATGACGTCTGTGAGGGCTTCGACGATCCTGCTGGGGAGAAAAGTTTTTCTCGTATACTCTTCATCTAGTGAATAAGGTCCGACATATTCTATATGTGCAATAACTGTATTGCCGTATTTGGTATTTATTCGTTGGAATTTTTCGATTTCGTATTCAAATCCAATTCGCAATTGTGAAAGTTTACCAATGTTGTTGTCTTTTTTCGCGATCGTTGACAAATATGATGTTAAAGAGGACATCTCGTTGGTTCTTTTTTTAATATATTGTTGTTCTTTGCTATAAACAATAAGATAAGTTATAGAAAAATATTAGTAACAATACCATTGTAAATTGATTATAAGTTAAAACTTACTTACCAATACGTGTGTGTGTACACAGTTCGAAAGTCGCTGATATAGTGAGTCGTGGGAGACAAGCATGATCATACAAGTGTATTTCGTCACACCCCTCTACATACCCAACCATCTCCCTCTTTCATATGCGATCGTTGCTCCCTCTGTACACAAACCCATGTACTTGGAAGACTGGACTCGTTTAATTCGCATTCCTCCGGAGGTTTGAAAACCCAATGCTGACTTGAATAGTGATCCAAATCTAAAATTGACAATTCTTTATAATATATGCATTCGTGTTGTCCACAAAGGATCTTCGTATTCCTTCAGCAATGGTAACCATTCGTAAGATCCTTGAAGGCTAAATCTTTTCCAAAACATTGTTTTTATGGTTCTAATCGCTCGTTCTACTATAGATGCTTTAACATTACTGTAGGTTGAATAATGATTTATACGGAATTTTTTAGACAGAGAATTTGTTTCTTTATTGCCTCGATCAGTTTGCGAATTTCTTGGTACACGACCGTCGGATGATTGTAAAATTTTTTTGAACGCGGCGTTTATTTCTTTGCCCGATTTCCTTTTTACTTCCATCGCCCAAATATATTTTGAAAAACAGTCAATCACTATCAATATATATTTGAAACCTTTATTTTGTTTACTGTAAGGTACCATCTCTATCAGGTCCGCTTGCCATAAATCGTCGATTCCCTTCAATATTACCTTACGCCTTTTGAAATTTCTTCTAGCAGGTCGATGAATTTCTTCTACGATTTGTCGTTTCACCTCCGACATGTTTGTTATACAGATTCAAATCAGGAAATGATTCATATTCGCATGATATGGAAGGTTTTATACAATTATACGAGCATCGCGAAGTTTATTTTCAATGTATTCGATTTCAGATTTACTATTCTGCTCTCGAGAGGTTAATAAAAATTTTAACCTTTCAATCATGTGATTATAATCTACTACCCCGAAACCTCGTTTCGGTTGTGGAATCTTATGCAGCCCCGTTTTTGACTTTTGAGGCTGGTATTTGAACATGGAGGATATCACAGGCCATTTAGGATGCGAACGAACAGCATTTATATCTCCACTGCTACTGTAATGTTTCCTGTGAGCGTTTGTG